CTCTCTCTCTCTGTCCCTCTCTCTCTCTCTCTCTCTCTCTCTCTCTCCCTCCTCTAATATAAAAAGGACAAATATATTACAAAGTATTTTTTTTACGATCTAAAGCTGAGTTGATGTGTTTTGGTTCACATACAGCTACAGAAGTTTAAATGCTCTAAGTTTCCATGTCTTTCAGTGTTTATCTTATCTTTATAAAAACAAGTTTATTTAATTTATTAATCTTTCTTCCTGTAATCCTGTAAAAGAACAGACGAACACACCAGCCCAAAAAGAAGCGCTCCTCTGCGTGGTGCAAAAAGACACAAATGCACTTAAAAATAAAATCTCTCCGTGCACCTTCACAAGCACGTGTGTACATTTAGCAAGTCTTCATTCGGGTTCACAGATCTTACAGAAGTTACTCTCCTCTCCTCCTCCACCTTCAGATCCGTGCCTGTACATTCCCCGCTTCGCCCAGCTGCTGGAGTTCGGGGAGAAGAACCACGACGTCTCGATGACGGCCATGAGGCTCGTGCAGAGGATGAAGAGAGACTGGATGCACACAGGAAGAAGACCCTCAGGACTGTGTGGAGCAGGTAACCACTAACAGAGGCAGCACTGTAAAAACTAGTGACACCAAACTTCTAAAACTAAATGAACTGGTTTTAAGGACACTTGTTTTCTAAATGCTTTGAAAATATTTGTTATATTCTGAGATTTAAAAAGATTCATAACTTCTAAAAATCACTTTTTATTTTGCAGCACTCTGTAACATATCTTCTGTATGTGCTGTGGAGTGGGGGCTGAAAGAGGGCAAAACAATGAGTGACACCCAACTCCTACAACTAAATGAACTGGTCTTAAGGACTCACTTGTGTTCTAACTGCTTTGAAAATATTGGTTTATGAGCCATCATCACTAGAGGTGGGGAAAAAATCGAGATTGTAAAAAATGTAAAAATTGAGATTCTTATCTTCTGAGATTGAAAAAGATAATGCTAGCTCTTTACCTCAGCAGAATGCTAAATGGAGCAGCAATAAATCCAGCCAGTCTCACAGATGACTGGAGTAGATCCTGAAGTATGGACTCATTGAGAAATAGACTTTGAATCCATGAATCCAGAAACGGTTTGAATCGCAAATAGATTCTGAATCGAATCGTAAGACACCCCAGCCCTAAATCATGACATGGAGATATGATACGAGGCTCCTTCTGTCCTCATGAAGCAACTGCTTATTTTCAAAATGTCTCTAATTATGTTTTCAGCGTTTTCTTAAATCTTAAATTTAGTTCGGGATCTCTTGACAGCATTCATCTTTTCCTTCTGTTGCTTTTTCCTGATGAGAAATGTAGCTCACCCCACAGCTTAACTTCTGCTTTTTCAGCTTTTTAAAATGTTTTCTTTTTTAAAGTACAACTCAAGCTTCGTCCTCCTTTACCTGCCTCTTTTAAAACCTTGAACCTGCTCAAACGGGATGCATTTTGCAGGTGCTTCATCATCCACCAGTTTATTCACTTTGATAACTGAATGTGTGTTTACGCTGAAACAAAGCGGTTGTTTGCTGAACCTCCAGTCGCTCTGTTGGTTGTACTTGTTAGCTGAACGTGACCTCTGACCTGTTCTTGTCGGAGGCAAGCAAAAAGAGAATATCCTTTCACACAGATCAATAATGTTGCACATGAACATTACCTGCAGGCCGTGTATGGTTTAGTTTGTAACACTTTGTTCACAGTTAGGGTTTATCCACAGTAGCTGCTGAATCCTGACATTCACCTGCACACTGTTTGCAGCCAGTGGAGTTACCAGATGTGTTTGGGCGTTTTACCGTTTGTTGGTTATCCGCCAAAGACACCTGTGGGCGAGGCGAACCTGCCAGCACCTGCCTGAACCGACCACAGTTTGTCTGGCGCTGAATTCACACCCTGCACGTCATCCTCTTTGTGTGAGTGAAACAGCTGAGCTCGAAAGCTACTCCCTTCCTCTTTTCGTCAGCCTGAATACACTCTCCTTTGACGCATCACCAGCCGAGGCGTCCTGAAATGGAATCACCGGCCTCCTCCTCCTCCTCCCGCCTCCCGCTCCCCGCATGTTTACACTCACGGTTTCACTTTTCGTCTTTCCCTGTTCCTCTGCTGCATTGCCTGAATAATTAATTGCCCCATCATAAATCATTGAGAAGGATGGGAGTCAGAAGGAAAAGTTTGTTCCCAAAATATGATGCAAATATCACCGACGATGATGAACGAGAAACATGCATCTGCAGAAACCTCGTCAGGGTGGAGAGATTTAAGAATTACATCACGACGAGAGGAAAGCAAACTCTGCGTTTAGAAAAAAAAAAAGAAAAGAAACTGGCATCTTTTGTCGCTGCGTGCTTTTCAAGGTGAGAGCGGTGAAATGTTTTGAGAAGTCTACAGCCACCACTTCAGTCCTTAAGGCTGTTAGCAGTGTGCTTGTCGAAGGAGAAGCATGCATCTATCTTTTAACAGGCTCTTGAGCAAGGGAACACTAATGACGGTTATATAAGTGTTCCCCTTCAAGGCTTGCACTGCGTCTCATAATATTAGTGTTGTTGGTACTCCCTTTTTTTTTTTTAAATCTGTGTTTTTTGTGTGGGTGTGGACTGTTGTCCTGCAGACTCTGTCCTCCAGTCTTAGAGGTTCACATGCAAACACACCTTAAAACCAAACCAGACGTGGATGTGCTCGGTCCAGGTTTGCTTACACACACACACACAAGGAATTTAACTTTGTTGAACTGTGCTCTGGTACAGGTACAACATTAAATATCAACAATAAACATAATAAGAAAAGACTAATATTTACATGACTAAAGATGAAACAGTGCAGTGGTGAATTTTCTATATCATATGGTTAAAAGTGCTCATGATACAGGTGCGCCGGTAGCCTAGTGGTTAGTGTGTGCGCCGGCTGTTAGCCTCCATGTGGCCCGGGTTCGAATCCAACCTGTGGCTCCTCTGTCCCTGATTTCTGACTCTATCCGCTCTCCTATTTCTACAATAATAACATAAAAAGCCCCAAAAATCAATCTTTGAGTCGTCAGAATTTAACACTTCAATACAATACTTGTAAAAATCTAAAGATATTGATACCTGTTTCAATACCAAGGCAATACAAATAGAATTCCATCCAAGCTCCAGTTGCGACCAGTGCAGGGTTTAACCCCGCCTCTTGCCCAATGACATCTAGGCTCAGCTCCAGCCCCCCATGACCCCTAAGAGGAAAAACAGTATAGAGAATGGATGGATGCAGACAAACTCCTGCCTGCATCCTTTCTGTTCATATATGAGCGGGTCATTTCCCAGTTTGAAGCTGTCACATTGTGTGTGTTTTTCTTTTTTCCAGCTCTTCTTGTTGCTGCTCGCATGCACGACTTTCGGCGCACTATCAAAGAAATTGTCGGCGTTGTGAAAGTGTGTGAAACGACACTACGGAAAAGGTAACTGTGTGTCTACTGAAGGTGTCTATTTGACAGCAAAGAGATTGTAGGTAGAGACAAAAGTCCAAAATGGAGCATGACATTCACGTCTCTATTTCTAAACTGTGTTTCCTGTATTATCCTTCACAGTGACCCACTTTTCTGTTTCACCCTAACTTGTTTGTGCATCGTTTTCGATGATGCTTTGACTCCTCTCTCTCTGTTGAATCATCTTCTGCAGGCTGACAGAGTTCGAGGGAACGCCCACCAGTCAGCTCACCATCGAAGAGTTCATGAAGGTGGATCTGGACCAAGAGTGTGACCCTCCCTGCTTCACTGAAGGACTGATGAAGAAGAAAGTCCGCCAGGTACGGTACTGGTCTCCACACACATGTACTAACATGACGAGTGATCCTCCACATTGTCTTTAACTAATAATAAAGCTGGTTATCATACACGTCCACATCCACAGTTTTGGTCTCCATGAGTTTATTAATGATGAGAAATTACACAGCTTGTGAAATAATCTGTTTCCCCCCTCAGGCGTCATTAAAATTTGATCTCATATATTTGATGGTAACATGTGCCTCGAGGCGTTCTGCAATAATGAATGAAAGAAATTAACCTCCAAAGTGAAAGAGTCAAAGATCAATATTCTGCGAAACCACAAATAAACAGAAAAGTAAGCAGGTCGAGCTTTTTTATCACATCTTAGGAGAATCAGGAGTGAGAAGTTTTGCACCACGGCTCAAAGATACAATATGTTGAATTTGCTGCTACTGAATTCTGCTGTATGAGGAGCTGTGATTAAATAACGTCATGTAAATGAAACTCGGATACATTAGCTCGACGGTAAACATATTCTCTTCCTCAGGTCGGTCTCGCCCGGTCGTCTTGACTACGGTCAACTCAGAGTTTGTTTTCATCGATCTAATCATGTGAAATGTCTCACAGTCACATGCCACTCAAGTAATAAAAAGATGGCTGACGGCCAGCAGGATGAATTGGCGATGGTTTTGGGAAAGTTGTGACTGAAAACTCAGAAAGATCACGAGTTGTGGTTGAAAGATTTGGAAACCTCAATAGCTTGGATGAGTAGTTGAGTTGAGTCAGAGTTTATTTCTCACAGGATTCTGCCTTTCGCTGCTTCTCACAATAAAGTTATAAAGAAATAGATGTTAAGAGTTTTATAATGTTTAGATATTTAAACGTTCAAACAGACCCTGTGTGTGTTTCTCATCGTCTTCTTCTTCTTCTTCTGTGTCTCATGCCAACAGCACCAAACCAGACTTGATGTTTTTTTGTACTTTTGGGGAGAAAATGTACTCGTGGAAGAAAAGGCAGCATCTGTCAACCACCCACAGTCCTCGTGTGCCGATGTTCTGTTATTCAGAGATGTTTCTGTGTAATCATTTCACCCTGCGCTCAGTGTTGGATCAGGGTTAAAGCTCTCACTCTGATTTCATTTCTTCCCTTTTGTCTTTCTCCCTCTAGCTGGAGAACGAGCTGAAGAAAAAGATGGATGACGTTGAAGGTATGAATGCGACGTCCTTGTGGCTCTCTGGCACAACTTCTCAAGATGATTTCTCTTCACTTTTCTCCTTTTCAGTTTAGTTAGACTCACATTTACCACACGGAGAAAGACAGAAGTGAAATAACACTTTCTGCTTTGTTTACAATGCTTTTCCTCTAATGTGCTGACCTCGACTAAATGCAGATCAGTGCCGGATGGGGTTAAAGCCAGAATAAAAACTAAAGTGCTGCAATGCATGGAGAGGGAACGGCTCCATTTTTTTCACAGCATTTAACTAACCAAACATAATCTTACACTACAGAAGTAATGTTATTTAAAGGGTAAGCTAAATCAACGGAACCAAGAACACAAAACAAGTGTTATTTTTTTTTCCCGTTGTGTATCCCATCGATCATTTTAGGAATGAAAGTCACTGCATCTCATTTCATATAACATTAGTCAAGTGTACGTTAGGGTTTGCACAGACCTGTCAATGTTTTCGACTTTGCAGCTGTGTGATCATCGCTTTCTGCCCGATGTCGACTAATCGCTTCACACTTTTTATGTGGGATTTGTAGAACAGGTGTTATTGTTGCTCAGCTGCTGCACTGCTGAGTTAACTGTCTGCTTTCAGCAGCACACACATTAAAGGCTTTATATGTGAGTCTTCACACTTAAATGTAATAGAAATCAAGTATATCCTCTGAAACTATCTTCAGTTTGTTTACATCGCCTGGATGGCCGGCTGACTCCTCCCCTCACGTATAAAAGTTGTTTAATTGAGGGACTAGAGAAAAGAAGAATAACATACTGTACTCACTGCTTAACTGTGTTTCTAGATCACGCTCATTTCAGGTAAATTACATGCAGTGTGAAGATACCAGCATGGATCAAAAAATCAAATATAAAGCCTTTAAGTTTTGCAAATAAGTATTTATGCTGGTTGCAAAGCATTCCCTTCTCCCTTGATCTTATTGATAACTTCATCAGAGACTAGTCGACATCGACTCGACAAGAAACTGATGCACTGATTTGAAAGCTGAAGCCTGAAGATGCTGAGAATAAAATCCCCATTCAGATAACTTCAAGAGGAACGAGCGTTATGCTTTTGTTTTTTTATCCAGTTTTTTTTTTTCTAAATGTTAAAACTCTTTTCTTCACTTTCATTATCAACAGATGAAATTCAAGTTTACCAGGATGAAATCGACGCAGAGCTGCAGAGCAGTCGACCCAAACTGAGAGGAGTTTACGCCGCCTACACTAAAGAGAGTCCAGAAGGTGTGTTGGTGATTTGTTTTTGTGGTTTGTTAGGAGGCTTAAAACCCGGCTGAGCTCCAGCTCTCAGCCTGTCGTTAGGATGACTGGACGTTAAGTTGAGACAGGATGACGGCCGCCATCGATGGGACTCCAAAGCCCCCGGCAGGAACAGATGAGTGACATCACTCAGGCTGCGTCCATTCATATTTACATACATATCTGTGGTTGTGAAGCAAACTAGCTGCCTAAACTTCAACTTCAACTCAGGACAGAATAGAAAAGTCTGGAAACCCAAAGCCTGACTCCAAGGTGTCCCAACATGTTAACCACACAGGAGATAAAACCTTTGATTTAAATGAAAAATGGCTTTTTGTTACGTTCAACATTTTGTGTTTTCACTCAAAAATGTTTCTCTCAGCTGATCGTCCTTCAAACTGTTCAGTTACCTGTTACATAATGAACACATTTTGGTGCTAGTGTTGCTGCAGACCTGTGGATAAATGTTAACATGAGGATGAACACCAACATGATGTGTCTCAGCATCAAAATGATTTTAGCTCGATGACATAGTCAGCTGTTAACATCAGGGGGACGCCCCAAATAAAAACATAACAAGAGAAAACACCGACATTTAAATGTTTAATGATGTTTCTATTTAGAAAGGTTGTGAAGCAAGAGCACCTGTTATTGACACACACACACACACACACACACACACACACACACACACACACACACACACACACACACACACACACACACACACACACACACACACAGGCCCACCCAGGATAGAACACACACATCGCAGTGGACTCCCTGTCACTCTGTCTTTTTATCTGCTTCTACCTTTGGCTCTTTATCTCTGGCCCTCTGTCTTTGTCTGTTTCTCTCTCGTGTACACACACACACACACACACACACACACACACACACACACACACACACACACACTTCGTCTCCCTCTGTTTTCACACAGCAGGGGTCGCAGGCTGTCACTGATTTCAGGCGTGTTGCTCTTCCAGCTGCTGCGTCGCTTTCAGATTTCTTATCGTTTCTTCTCAAACTGATACCCGAGTTTCTTTTCTGACATTTTTTTCTGCTGAATTTGAAAAGACTTTTTATTTTATTTTAATTAGGGCTGATTAAAGGACACATTTTAATTAGATACCAGGACGTAATTATGAGCCCATTTATTGTGCCCGGGTGTGATTGTTTATCTGCATTTCTACTCCCACTTCTGATTTGGGAAACGAAATAATTTAATTGTACTTGTTGTGGCATTTTAATATCTCTCATTTATCGCTACAGTGCTTGTTCTGAATGTTTTTTTTTCCTTTCCCCGTGAATACTTTTTAATTGGTAACCTGGGAATCAGGAAATTCTTGCTGTGTAATTATATCCGGCTAATTATACAATCTGACCGTAAACTGCGGCTCTCTGCTGCTTATTCAATCCTCGGAGAATATTCAGAAGTCATGAACTGTGCGATAACATTCAACATCGTCAAAGTGAGAGTTTCTAATGATTCAAAATCAGCATTTTAGCTTCTACTGAGACCGTTGTTTCATCCCACTCATCCTGTTGAGTGACCTTTGTAGTAATTATGTTTGCATTTCTATTTTTATTTTTATTTTGTTTTTAATTCTCTTTATTGGGGTTTTTTCTTTTTTCAAATACAGATTAAAAAAAACTGAGACATGTTTATTCATACCTCAAACCAACACAAAAAACTAAATGATAATAAATAAATAAAAAGATAAGATATAAAAAACATGAGTAAAAACAAATAAAATACCAAAATAATAAAACATTAAAAAAAATGAGATTTAAATAGTAATAATAATACAACTTGGAGATGTCAAGTGCTTTTACTTTATTTTACTAAGTTGTATTTTTTTCACGGGGTTGTTTTTGTTATAGTTGTCTTTAAATGGCTGCCATATTGAGTAAAACATTTATCTTTCCTCTCAAGGTAAATGTTATTATGTTTGCATTTCTACTGCTTGATATATACATTTTAAAGTTAATTTTACATACTTTATTAATCCCTGAGGGAAATTCTGCTTCACACACTGTTATTTTAGAGACATGCTTCACACACACACACACACACACGCACAAACATGACCTGTGGACCTGCGTTAGTGGAGAGATGTCAGAGTGAGTGCTACACAGGGAGTTGGTTGGGGGTTCTGTGCATTGCTCAAGGGCACCTCTCCAGTTTCCAGACCAACTTCCATATTTTGGCGACCTTCTGGTTCCAAACCCAAGTCCCAACAGACTGAGCTGCTGCCGCCACCCAAACGTCACACCTCCACCTTCTATCATGACGTTTTGTTACTTCCACCCTCGAGGTCCCTACATGATGAATGAAAGACAATGAATAGATCTGATGACGTGCTGTTTCATCACCTCTGTGTTTGTCATTTGATTTGTGTTACTGTCTCTCTTCATAGTCCACCATATCCTCAAGGACCCTCACTCAGCTTTGTAGGACTAAGGGCGCAGTCACACTGGCCATCTGTACCGTGCTGTACTCAAGCACGATTGGCCCCCCGCTGCGCCATTCCCACACTGACCGGCGCGGCCCGCGGTCACACTGGCCAGGACTAACTGTGCCTAAAAGCACGATTACCTCTTGTGAATAACGTCGTAATGCAACACATGCACGCTTTATGAGAGAGAGAGAGAGAGAGAGGCACGGTACGGATGGCCAGTGTGGCCGCGCCCTAACTAGGAGGTTGTGAGCTAAACGTGGGAGCTTGTGTTGTTGCAACTGTCTGTCCTTATCGTGTACTCTAGACTGGTTTAACCACTTCCTGGCTTTCCAGTCTGCAGCTGGTTCTGCCTTTTTGTAATGCTCCTTTCAAACACATCACTAATTACATATCAAACTCCATCTCTCCCTCTTCTAGACTGTAAAAATGACAATGACGACGCCCTCTCCACACCCTCCAAGCTAGCAGACTTCGAGGAACCCGAAGAGGAGGATGAGCTTCAGGCTGTGGCCAAGCACTTTGGCAAAGAACTGGAAGAAATCACACTGGAGGCTCTGATCAAACTGGAGCGAACGACCCCAGAGGGGCAAGAGGGGGACCAGGAGGAGGAGGATGTCCCCAAGCGGGTGGGCCCGTCGCTGGCGTCCATTCTCGGCAGGATGCCCACGGCAGCCACGCTCGGCATCAGCGAGTCCATCAGCAGCTGCATCGGTAACGAGAAGGAGAACGGTGAGTGCTGATAGACTCTTAAGTCGTTTGATTGTCTAGTTTTATCGTCTCATTTGGAGGCCCGTTGGTGTCACATTACAAGGAAGTGGATGATCTAGATCAGAGGTCATACTTTGCTGATTCCTGCCGTGTAATATTCTCATCTGCTAGCAAAAAAAAACAAACTGTGGAGCTTCTCTCTCTGCATTGTTTTTCAGATTTGTTCTCAGAGACAGCATCTGTTTCTGCTTTGTGAAGCTTTCCCTCTTTTGAATTTTAATGTATCATCACCAGTGTGATTCATGCAGAGGGGGAGGATGAGTTGTTGTATTTGATAAATGTCGACCGTACACGCAGTCGTTGGGAGTCGGGGCAATTTGGAGAGTTGCAACAATCCAGGCTTTGTATTGTTTTATTTAGCTAACATCTTTGTGAGCAGAAGCACCCTTGAGCCTGATCTGATTACGAATGCTGCGGTGATACCGTTTATCCTTGACTCTGTCTGGTACCTGCTGTATCACCATAATAACCCATAATCAAGTTAAAGAATGCTCTCTCAGGTTTAATTGTCGTAATTAGCTCGGCTCCAAAGTGGAATTGGTTTAGCTGCGTGTGAAATTTGTCAACCCTTATTATGTTTTACCCTTCTTAGTGCACCACAGACAGACAGGGGGAGGGGGGGGAGTGTGTGGGAGATGTGAAGGAGATATCAGAGCTGAATTTGTTTAACCCTTGTGGTGTCGACTTTCGGATTTGTGCTGAAATACTTCAAGTAGTTGCTGGAGAGGTTGTCTGTCGCCGATTTGTTCAGATGGCTTTTAAGCTCAGATGAACTGAATTATTGTACCAAGGTGGGAAAAAAACTAAAACTGTTGTTTTTTAGGTGAGCATTACAAAATATGTAGGATGGGTTTTTGTGTATAAAGCATAAGTGTGGCCTCGACTTGTTTCAGACTAGAGTCAGAACTCTGTTGACTTCATATATTCCTTGGGCAAGACACTTAACCCCGAATTGCTCCCGCTGCTTCGGTGGCGGTGTATGAATGGGATTAGTTACCTCTGATGGATGATACTACATAACTACTACCACCATCAGTGTGTGAATGTGTAGGTGTGACATGCAGTGTAAAAGCGCAAGACAAGTAAATGGCTATATAAGCTTCCCTCAAGTTGAATGTAAACGGTAAATAGACTTGCCATTTACAATTTACCACTGATATTCAACTTGAAGGAATACAACAAACTTGACTTGGATTGAAATGGTTTCTGGACTTGTACAGCGTTCTGTTCGGTTGGCCAGTTGGTGCAAAGGCTCTGCAACAGCTGAAACATGCAGCATATTTAGAAATGCTGCAAATTCAAAAGCAAATGCCGCTCCGGTGGTTTTATAAGAAATGCACTTCCCAATCTCCCTCCCACATCTGTCGGCGTCCATCTGCAGAAACCTGAGCGGGGGTTCAGTAAGATGCATGGAGTCGAGCCTGGCATCGCACTACAGTCCTCTCTGGAGTCAAACAGAACATGCACCGCTTGTTATGAGATTTATGACAATGAACAAATGTTTCTGCTTGTTGACAGGAGTCTGGTAATGAAACCTTATATGAACCAATAATAAAAACTGACTGATGTTTCCAGCTGCAGTTACCCTAAAAAAAAAAAAAAAAAAAAAAAAAAAAAGAGCCATAGGAGTGAACAGACCCTCTGTCAATGTGACTTATTAACAGCTACAAAAATAAAACAACTACAGGGATCCATCAAGTGTTACCTATAATTACCTAATTACACGGATAGGATGTGCTTCGCCCCCCTTATCTGGGTGTGCAGAGGCGTTGATGGATGTGAGGTAATGGTGCCATGCAGCTGCATCTGTCCTGATGAGGAAACCTGTGTTTTTTTATGGCTGAGTGTAGGAGGGCGGGGAGTCAGGAGAGGCCAGGGGTCGGGAGGTGAAGTGTGTTTTGATGGATGGATGTTGTACAGGAAAGGATGGTGAAGTGGTTTAATGTTTGGAGAACAATCCTGGAACTTAAAGGTCGCAGGTTTGAGTCCCTTCAGAAACCTCTTTGTGTCCATAAATATTGACCAGGGCTCCACTTCCACACAATGATCAGGCCTCAAGTTAAAAGCTTTCTTTGGGGTTTTTAGACCTCAAATTTGTCACATGTTTCCCAAAAAGAGCACTTACATACAAGTAGAGGCTGTTTAGTGCTCCTACATTTTGTTTGTGTGCTTAAGAGGATGGTTAATGACTAGTAACATATTTAACTGTAATCTGTGTATTAACATGACAAAGAGTCTACAGCAATGCTATTGGCTACTTAGCAGCCGGAGATTAGCATTTAACTCTAAGTGCTTTGCATGCAGGTATAATGTTACCAAGGTTTGACATTTTAGTTTAGGTTTTGAACATAATAACATTTCCAACACAATTAGCGTTGCAGGAATTTAGTCACAACCCAAAGTTACATTTGAAATACTAAACTGATTTAACAAAGATGTAAATCATGAAAAAATAAACAAGATTTATACATAAAACATTAAGTGAACATTAAAACTTAAGCGAAGTCGAGCAAGATGAAGACGTTGATAAGTACAAATACAAAGATAGCGTCAGTGTACATTAAAGGTCGAAATCCACTTCATCATGTTTCTCTAACTCTAATATGTCAAACCCCCCAATGATGAGAAAAGTCCATCCTCTTCGTCTTCTGCCTGCTCCACTTTTCAGAAAATGTGTGCTCAAACAGGCTGTTTGGAGATTTCCCCTTCATGACATCACAAAGGGCAGTAGCCCCTCCCCCAGGTGGGTGACACTCCCACAGCTAGGTGTTTGTTCTGCCCTCTGAGTCGGCCTTCTCACTGTAAACAATAGGACATGGAGCGAGAAAGCACCGAGTACACTCAAGCCCTTCCAGAGAGGGGGTGTGGTCACAGCTCATTTACATATTTAAAGGTACAGACACAGAAACAGCCTGTTTGATCAGGGCTGAAATAGAGGGGTTTATAGACATGATCAAATACAGGATCAGAGTGGATTCAGAACAAGAACAAGACTTATTTACTCTTGTTAAAGAGGAGGAGAATATGTGATCTTAAAATAACTTGAAATGAGAAATGTACAAAACTGAGAATTTCCTAACAGACAATGGTTACAGGAGCTTGAAGAGGTTCATAAAATAAATGGTATGGTAATCCAATACAATGTCTGATGAAAGTTAATACTGTTTTAGATAATGGATCCCGGTCTTGTCTCCGGATCCTTTTAGGAAGAAGATAATCCTTTTAAGTTGCTTGCTGAAAAAGTGAGCGGCTAATAAGTAAATGAATAGTGCCTTCAAAAAATGCATGCATCATAACATTTTACTGGTATGAAAGAAGGACTGTGTAATAAGCTGCCTCTCTAAAACATCCATTTCTCAGGTCAAACCACCCATTAACCTGATGAAAATGTTCCCCAAAATTGCCTCTGAGCTCATCCCATCCTGGGAATACACAACAGGGACAAGGTCAAGAGCGAAAAAGCCACCGTAACCCGACTGACTGAATCACAGCTCTCTGAATCATACGCTCTTACGTTAATTGTTAAATTTGTCTCATCTTCTTGAAAAGATCTGTTTTTGGCACCGAGTGACGTGAGTTTGAGTCATCCTTTTCAACTCGGCGCATCATGAGGCCCATCAAATGAGGCTATGAATGACACAATCGGCATTAAAATGAAAAAGTGAAACATGGCCGTGCTTAAAGGGTTTAATCGTTGGCCAGTGGGGCTGGAGTCTGATCTCACCAGGGAGCTGTGTGATTAAAGGTCAGCTGCTCGTTCTCTCCAGAGAGTGTGTGTGCGTCTCCTTTCTTTATTCTGCCTCTCCAGTTTGTGTGTTGGCTCTCTTTTGGTTTGAGTTAAAGGATTAAGTCGCTATGTTGTTTAAAAAGGTTTGATATCAATCAATCATTATTTGTATAGCGCCAATTCATAACGAGTGTTATCTGGAGATATGAGAATTTTCCCTAAAAACCAGAAATGTAATCACAGCATGACACCATCATTAATGCCGGTGGCTCATGTTGTTCTCTAATCTTAAGCCCTTTTCTCACATGAACTCCTGACTTTCTCCTGATCATTTCAGGACATTCAGTCCCTGATATTTTTCAGAATCTCCATTCACTCGTTTACGTCACAGAGAGAGATTATCCATAACCCTTTTTCACGTTGCCAGTTTGCTACAGAACCGTGAAATCAGCGCTACCTTCACTAGACCTCTGAACTTGTACATTGACTCAGTCAGTAGGGTTACATGGCGCAAGATATTCGAATTTCTGATCGTATCAGACACTGTTTGGACTTTTAAAATGCATGTAAACATCTTACTCCGACCTACATCGGACCAAAATTGGACCATAACGGACAATTCATAATCGGAAAAGAACACCTAGATAAGTCGTTCATAGTCTGCAAACTAACGGCGTGTAAACTCAGACATCGTATCGTAATCGGATTTTGCGTTCTGCGCGTGCTCGAGAATTACCGCCGGGGCTTTTCACCCGGATGTGGAAGGAGACGATGTAATAAATAGTAGTGTTGTTGCCGGAAGCAGCGTCCTTCTGCTGTTATCGCCGCAGCCAAAAGATCCACTGTTCTTCTAGTATGAATTATTAGAATGTAAATAATGCACAAAATGTACGTAGCTGTAGCGTCGCCCATCTCCTTGTACGCCATCTTTGTTTGAATGCTGCCAGATAGTTTGTTGTCGCTGTGACGTATAGGTCAACTGGAAGTGGCTTTATAAACACTTCAGTCAGCCATGCTCCGGCCATTTATACGATTCTCTGATCGGCAGTGACAGCTGTCCGTTCGAGTAGCAAATCGGTATATGGCTTGATCCTATCGAGCTACCCCGTGTAAACGCACTGAGTAACAGTGTAATATTGGTGTTACTGATTATTCATTTCGTTAACGTTTTGCTGAAACATGAGATTCACATGTGCAAACACAGCAGGAGCTTCACATACACACTCAGACATGC